ATGATGCCTCTCAGAAACTAATTCCTGCCTCCAAGCCCTAGGCTAAATAAAACTTTGCCATGAGATGCATCAATAAGTGTTCTAGCAGAACCACTACTTATCACATCTGGTGCATCTCTCATTTAAGCATGGGAGACATCTACCTTAATGTCTCTGAGCAAGAAGATACCTGGATAACCTTTGGTACGCCTTATGGTTAAATGCAAAGAATACAGAGTGGCTATGCAATGTTGAATGTTCTCTGTTAACTCTGTTCTGTTTCCCTTATGTTTTTGTTGAAAATAATCCATGAACTAGTAATTTGTACATTGACCCCTAATAATGAACCATATGTCATGGATATTGCTTCAAATTTATTATGCTGGGGTTTTTTGTGATATACAAGTAACATGAGAAGACTTGGTCTATTGATTTGTGTCATTTATGATGATGATGATGATCCGTATTTATTAAACACCATAAAAAGTTATTTTTAAAAAAGAATACAAATAAAAATTGTTACTATTATGCTAATGTGTGGCCTGAAGTTTAGCACAGATAATATGCCTTAAATGTCTCCAGAGCAAAAACGTATTTGAGAAAATTTATCAAGAAAGCAGGCTCAATAGGAGTAAAGAAGTAAATTTTGAAATAAAAATAATTACATTTTGTAGAAAATCTAGCAGCAGCTATAATTTACCGCCCTACATTATAATTCCACAGTCCTATGTTATAATTCTACCAACTGTGACAGGCACTAACTACTGTAATCCAACTGCTGTTGGAAGTCCCATGGGTAGTTTACACCCCATAGCACAAGTACACGTAACTACGTTTATCAGCTGTGGCAGATTCCAGATCATAGCTCACACATCTACAAGTCATAACTTAAAGGTGCAAACAGGTCTGAGACTTGCAGTTAAGTTCAATCAGCCGAATTCCTGAAAGCATTCAGAACTGACAGTCCAAGATCATGGTGCCAACTTGCACTGCACCTGTTGAAAGGAACAGTGGTCTAAAGGAAAGCAGAGCATCGGCTTGGCTGCAGGAGTTGCTGGAAGGAGGTGTGCCATCCAACAGTCTCTGGAAATCCACTCTGGATTTGTGTAGGGTTAACTCCTTAGCCCTTTCCCTAAAGCATACTTAGGATAACGTAAAGGCAGGTTGCCCAGCAGCTTTAGTCATGTTCACAACAGCAAAACACAGGGAGAAAGGGGAAGCAAGCAGGGCTGCAAGACCCCACCAACAGCCTCCGAGGAGGAATGAGAAAGCAGCTTCTTAGCATCTTTCATTTTGCAGTCGAGAGTAGAAGAACTGCCCTGCTGGATCAGCCTCAAAGGTCCCGTCCCCCGGCCCTCTTCCCCTGCTCTAGACAGGTGTCTGTGAAGCACCACAAACAGGTGAAAGCTCTCACAGGTTTACTGCCTCTGGAAATTGAGGCTCCACTTAGCTATCCCAGCTAATAGCTGTTAACTAATCAGCTGGCACGATGAATCTGCGGTAGGCTGTGGACAAAAACTCCACTTGATAATTCAGCAGGACACTTGCAGAAGTCAAGAGCTTTTCAGCCAATCCCCAGGCAATGGCCTCTAAGCCACAGAGGGGGACGGACACCCACCCACATCTGTTCATTGCTCTGGATAGGGTAAGGTGGCTTGGCTTGCTTAATCACAGAGACAAAAGAGGAACAAGCACTATCCCTGGCTATGACCCCTAAAAACTTGGTGGACGCCAACCAGAACAGGCTCTTGAACAGGCCAGAAGTGAATGTCAAGCGTCTCTGCATAGGCTATGAGAGATCCAGAAGCGTCCTGTTGCTAGGGAAGTCTGAAGGAAGAAATGTTTGGGATTTCAGCAAAGCAGAAAATAAACCATTCCTGGCAGGCAATGGGGGAAGAAGGGGGGGGGGGAGAGAGAGAGAAATAATCCATTTCCCATGCAGAAATCCATGCCAATCTTTTGACATAAAGCAAGGGAGGCAGCTGGCAATCACATGCCTACACTTAAGAAACACACAGGCAAGGAGTCATCCTCCAGCAAAGCAGCCGAATGTTCCAATTCGGAGGGAGGAGTCGGTCTCTCCGGAAATTCCTCTAGGTCCAGTCAAGTGAAATATTTGTTTGGCTCCCTAATAGAGTTTGCCACCAGACCCAGGGACTCACCACTTGACAAACTGCAGAAGCCCTTCCCGGAACCGTCTGTGGCCAGGGGCGCTGGTGCAGTTCTTAAAAAGAACATCTCCAATTGAACGAGAACTGCAGGGCGAAAGGAGCCAGCACAAGCAGTAAAACTTAGAGCCGAGTCCCCAAGGGAGATGTGTGGAGGGTGGCAGCGGCGAAGAATGCAGTTCGGATTACCCAGGAGAATCAGAGCATCATTCCCAAATAATTACTGCCTTGGCATCAAAACAAAGCAAAGATGCTCCCCTCTGTCTCTCTCTCTCCTAGGGTGACTCCGTTATTTTCAAACTGGCAGAGGGTGGGAGAGAGAGAGAAAGGCAGATTTGATTTGTAGCTGCATTTTTTTTAAAAAGAAAACAGCAGCAGTAAAAAGCTCCCTGAAGGTGGCTTTGCCCATCGCAACTTTTGCAGTCAAAGACTGCAAAGAAGAAAAGCAAAGAAGCCAACTCATTCATCTATATAGGCAACAGAATGATGACACACACACACACACACACAAATACAGTGGTACCTCGGTTTACAGACGCTTCAGGTTACAGACTCCGCTAACCCAGAAATAGTACCTCGGGTTAAGAACTTTACCTCAGGATGAGAACAAAAATTGTGCGGTGGCAGCATGAGGCCCCATTAGCTAAAGTGGTACCTCAGGTTAAGAACAGTTTCCGGTTAAGAACGGACCTCCAGAACGAATTAAGTTCTTAACCCGAGGTACCACTGTAATCTTTTTTTGGTAAGGGGAGCAGGACAAAAACACTTGAAGAGCACATTATTTTGGGAAACTTAAAAAAAAACAAAAAACACTTTGTGGTTCTCCAGCCTTTCTTTTTTTAAAACATATTAAGAGTTCACCATTACTTATCTTTCTGTGTGTGATCTTTTAGGAGAGTAATAAAACTCTACTTAGACCCGATAAGCATCTGAGGCGCACTCACACCCTGCATTACCCAGCAATTTCCTTCCCATAGAAACCAAGCCCTCCCCTTTTCTAAACACACCAGCTACTACCCTCACTCGCTTCCCAAGGACCAGCCAAGTAGCTGACCTGGAAGGAAGCACACCTCCCACGCTGCTCAATGCAACACAAGAGTTTGTTGGGTTTGTCCACTCCCAAGGCAACTTTTATAGCTCAAACAGCGTCCAACAAGTGGAAACCAAGCCTCGTCCAGGAATGGGACTGAGCAGCAGCAGTAGCATCTTCTTCCTGTGATGAAAGGCATGAGACGGGACTTATTCCTAGCACAGTACAAAAAAAGGAGGAATGGAACCAATGGAGTTCCTCTTTCTGAAGGCTTGGCACGCTCTTTATAGGGCCACCTTGTATCTCAGGAACTAGGATTGGAATCCACCGTTCCCAACAGAAAAAGTCCCAGTCTTCCTTTGAAGCAAGAGCAAACTTTAGCTAGTTTTTTTTAATATTGCTTCTACAGGTCTGAGATTCCAAGATGTATTCAGTTTTCTGTCTGGTTTTTTTTTAAGGGATGTGTGTTGCCATCAGGGTTTTAAGAAGCAAACCCGACCTCACCCTACGGATGGGGCAGATTAGAAATTTTGAACCCTCTAATTTGGGGGTGGATCATAGCTCAGTGGCAGAGTTTCTGCCTTGCACACAGAAGATCCCAGGTTAGATCCCTGGCGGCTCCAGAGAGGCTGACAACAAAGCTTGTCTGAAACCCTGGAGAGTCATTGGGTCATCAGTACAGAGGATTGCTGAGTGGGATGGACCAATGATATGCCTCAGTATAAGGCAGGTTCCTACACCTTCCTATCACTCACTCCAGCACCAGTCAGTCAGTTATAAGGTTCTAGAATGCAACAGAGTTTACCCAACCCTGATGGGTGGACTAAATCAGGACTTTCACACCTGTCAAAAAAATAAATAAAAATCACTTGAAACAGAGCATGATGAAGTTCACATCGGGCAGATGTGACCTTGACCCTGACCTAGCAGAGAGCCATTTTACGAAAATAAATAAATAAGTGAAATCTTCAGCAGGGTGAAGTCCTGCTTCCATTGCTAGGGGTCCCCAAATCCCATAGGTCACCTTAAGAATTCCCAGCACATATTTCTGTCCTGGCTAAAGCAAGGCACCTCTCCGACTCACGTCTCAAAAGCGCCTTTCCCTTCACAGAATTGTAGAATTGGAAGGGACCCACAGGGTCATCTAGTCCAACCCCCTGCAATGCAGGAATTTGTGGCCCAAGGCAGAACACGAACCCACGACGCTGAGATTTTTAGAGCCTCTACCGCCTGAGCTACGCCAGCTCCATCAACCCATCACACATCCCTTCGAGACGGGTCAAGCCCGAGGTCCCCAAAGTGTGAAGACCACCGTAGTGCGTCGTCTCTGACTTTTTAACAAAAACCAGGCACACGGACTCAACAGAGAGACCAGAATCCAGTCCGAGAAAGAGCGCAGCTTCTCCTGCGCCACGAGCCCCGTTCCCTTGTCCGCAGACTCGGTGCACTGCGGAGGAGAAAGAGAGGCTCCCCCCCCCTTCCCCAAAAAACCGCCTCCAGGACCAGCGGGAGCCTCGCCGTCGTTGCTCCGTCTCAGGAGGCGGCTGAAGTTCGTTCGCAGCCCCGCAAACTTCCCCCGAAGTCGCCAGCAGCACCCCAAGAAAGGGCAGTCGAGGAGACAGATCTCCAAGAGTCCTCCTCGCACCAAACCAAGAAAAAAGTGGAGGGATTCAAGTCCCGCAGCGGCGAGGCGCCCCTCGCCTCCGCGCCAAACTCCCGCAAGCGCAATCCCCGCGTCGTCTTCGCCCCCCAACCCCGCACCATGCAAACCAACCAGCCTCTTTCTCCCCCCCCCCCCGGCCCGCAATTTCCTTTCCTTTTACCTTGTCTGACGGCTTTGAAAAGCACGGGGTCCTTGCAGCTGCGGATAACTCCCAGCACGTCGTAGCGGGGCAAGCCCGACACCCGGATGCCCTGCACCTCCAACAAGAGCTCCCCTTCGCCCAGTTTCCCGTCGCCTCCGCCGCCGTCCTCCTCGGCCGTCGCCCCGACGTAAGGAAACTCTCCATATTCCGCTCCCCCCAGGATGGTGACCCCCAGCTGGCCCTGAGCCCCGCGGCTCACCGCGCACTGGTGCACCTTGGTCGTCCAGTGGTTCTTCTTCTGGATCACTTTCGACATGGCGCTGCTCGCCGAGTCCGAAACAAACACCACCAGCAGCAGCAGCAGAAAGAGGGAGAAAGGCGAGGCAGGCAGGCAGGCGCGCTGGGGCCGTCGAGCCAGCCTTCCCCGGGCGCTGCCGGCAACTTTCAAGCCATCACCGAGCAAACTTCGCGCAGGTCCTGCCCGAAGCGGCGGCGGCAACAGCAGCGGCGGCGGCAGCGAGCGCCTCCTCCGACGGCGCCGCTGCCATCGAGCCGGCCCTGGTCCCTCAGCAAGAGTCCGGCGCGCGTCCCCCTTGTCCTGCCGCTTTCCTCCTTCCCCTTTCCTTCTTGGTAGGCAAGCCTCCTTCTCCGGCGCAGTTTCCCCTCCGTGCGGCTCCACCTGGGAACGTGGAGGAAGGAAACCAACAACCAGGTCCTCGTCCCCTTTCCTCCGGGCCACTTTCCCCGCGACTTCTTCCCCCCCCCTCAGTTTCGCCTCCGAGCGAGCGCGGCTCCTTTAAGCGCGGGCGAAGGCGCCGCTTGTTTTGTTACATTTCACTCGGGTCGCTTCTTAGCAAGACCAAAGCAGAGCGAGAGAGAGAGCGAGCGAGCAGCGATAGGCACCGCCGGCGCAGGCGCTCGGCACAAGCTCCTCCCTCTCCTCCCCTGGCCGCCTCCCCTTGGAGAAAGCGCGCCTCTCTCCCCGGCATGTGAGCGCGCACAGAAGCGCCGGCGGGGAGTGAAGCCGTTGCCCTTAAGGCTGAATTGCCCATAAGCAGCAGCCCAGACCAGAATCTAGGCTGGCCAGATGTTTCTTATTTGTCCCCTTTGTTTTTCCGAGGCTGGCCCAGACGAGCGGCATAAAGGTCGGCGCTTGATTCCCAGAGTTGCAGCACATGTGTACTTTTTAAAAAAGTGAATGCCTATCTATCTATACACCCTTTCTGTTGCTTTATTGAGCCGGAAGGTGCACCACCTGAGACGAAATGTTAAGGCTGCACTTAACTCGAGAGTTAAGCTCGCTCATTAAAAAACAACGGAGTTGCTTCGAAAACTAGCAGACATTCGTGCTGCGATGATGCCAACGCTTTATTTACCATTGGATTCAGTTGGACCTACTTCTGAGTAAGCACGGTTAGGATTGTGCTGTTACTTAGCTACACCGTAATCCTAAGGGAGTTTAGTAAGAAGTACATGGAAGCATACCATAGATCCTAAGGAGTTGCTTTTAAAAAAAGAGCGCACGGTGAGATTTTCATTGTTTTTACTTAGAGGAAATTTGTTAATTAGTGAATTTTTTTACCTACCTTCTCTGTCTCGGGATATTAACATCTCGAAAGATGTAACCAAATTCTAGGGATGCTATATTTCAAAAAGTAAATTTCCTGACCCTCAAATTGCTGAGCTTTTTATTTTTTTATTTTTAGAACAAACCCAAATTGTTGAACTACTTTGGGTAAATCTAACCCCAAAATAGTGATTTTAAGTTTTTTGAGCTGTTCCTGCTGCTTTTTCCATCGTGTTGCCATACATCCCGGACATTTTGCCAGTTTGGTGAAACCCCACTCCCCACATGCTAGTTTTACACCTGAAAACCAGGAATTTCCCTCCCTACCGAATGCAGCAAAATTATATGTAATTAAATACTAGTTGTGATGTAGCATTAAACAATTATGGAAGCAATATTGTTCCTGTTTGAGGGTGAAATTCTGATTAATTTGAATTCACAGAATTTGCAGCCCACGATCCAACTTCCAGAAATATTGGTGCACATCTACATTCACATAAACTGGGACAGCAACTACCACTTGTGGGGGGTGGGGGGTGGGGAGAAGAGCTTCGGTTGAGCCACACATTATTGGTGATTGGTGCTACATGCATAGTCCTGAGCCAGGAATTGCACCAGTGTCATGAACAAACCTCGTAGACTAAGAAGGCAGTTCATGAGGGAAAGTCTTATTTCACATGAACATGATCATGTATTATTTATGAAAGCTTATACTGTAAAGCATACTTTTTTATTTTAAGAACAGCTCAACTGAACATCAGAAAATGAAAATAAAAAGTGGGGGAGAAAAGGTTTCCTATATCACTATATTTACAATGCTACATATACTTATCTAATGTATAGGTATTATTATTATCCAAATACATATATAAATAAAAATACTTGAAGAAACGTGCACGTCAACTTTACCTATTTTGGCAGCGACAGAGCAGTGGGGAGTAATTGTCGCTGCTGCGTTTATTCTCGGCACCCCCTGTTGCGTCTTGCAAGCATGAAATTCATCATTAGCACCCTGAGAATCTCATGGTGTGAGTACTGCAGACACACACTAAGCCAGTTTCTTATCCATTGCAACAGCAGGGATAAACACGGACACCTCTAGATAGTACCTTTTGAATACTGAGGCTAGAAATGAGCTAATCAGGACTTCCAGATTGTTTGTGGGACCACAGCTCGTGCAGAAGGTCCCAAGTTCAGGACCAGCACCAGATTTTGGACCTTGAGAAGACTGCTTTGATATTCCCCTTATGGAGCAGTCCTCCCCCCCCCCCACAGCATCAGATGCCCCATGGGTGTACATTAGGGAGCAACTGGCAGCAGTGCTGCCAGGGAGCCCAAGTGGTGATGGCTGTGGGAAGGAAAGGAAAGCTTTTTGCCCCAGTGGACCCTGTGGTCAAGCTGAATTTAACCCACCACTACCACCACACGCCCGCCCCCCCCCCCCCGGAATTAGCTCACACACCCAAACCAAGCAGGATAGAACTCCCCACCATCCGTTGATGTGTGGGAAATATAAATTGTGCTTTTTCCAGCGGTAGGATCCAGCCACACCCTTTCCTGCACAGTACCCGAACACCACAAATGATGTCTGGTGTGATTCAGGGTGGCATGGGTTGGGATAAAATGAGGAGGCCTGGCGGGCAAGCGGTGCTGATTGCGTAAAAAGCAGTTCCCTATGTCCTTAAAAACACTTCTCCCTGCATGGCTCAGAGCAGCTTAAAGGTAAAGGTACCCCTGACCGTTAGGTCCAGTCGTGGACAACTCTGGGGTTGTGCACTCATCTCACTCTATAGGCCGAGGGAGCCGGCATTTGTCCACAGACAGCTTCCGGGTCATGTGGCCAGCATGACCAAGCTGCTTCTGGCGAAATCAGAGCAGCGCACGGAAACACCATTTACCTTCCCACTGGAGCAGTACCTATTTATCTACTTGCACTTGACGTGCTTTTGAACTGCTAGGTGGGCAGGAGAAGGGACCGAACAACGGGAGCTCACCCCGTCATGGGGATTCGAACCGCCAACCTTCTGATCGGCGAGCCCTTAATATATATATATAAATAATCAGTATTCACAGAAACCAATATCAAGTTATCTGGGGGTGGGGGGTAGCGTGGAAGTTGAGGCATTGGTGCTCTGTGCAGTTCCATTTTCTCTCCTTAAGCCTATCCGAGCATATTATAGTCTAAGGGGGGGGGGGTGTTCTAAAGGTGCCATGTGATCATTCTGGCAGCTGGCTACAATTACTACATGATTCCAAGCTTTTCTGAAGTTTCATTGCAGGAATTGGAGAGGACAGTTGCTTTTAAAATCCTGGGATCTCTGGAGTTTTGCAAAAAAAAAATGTTTTTTTTAATGAAATACAATCCACTTTCCTGACTTTGATACTGCAGCCTGCCCCCAGCCCCTCTCTCTTTCTCTATCTCTTTCTCTCTTTCTCCCATTCTGAACAACCCCTGTTAAACACACACACACACACACACACACACCCCATCACAACCGTTGGCTTTTGTCCACATCCTGCCCAGCTTCTTCCCTGTTAAAGCTGTATTTGAGCTGTAATTGGCACAGATCCACCTGTTCATTATTTATTGATTTATTGTTTGGAGGCCAAGTGGTGGTTAATAAGATTACGAAATGATGGCCCCCTGAGACAAGGTTTAACAAATGGTTCTTTAACAAAAATCTGCGTAGTAGCCACTGATCTCCCCCCACCCCCAGCATCAAATCAGGCTTGGGGCATGTGTACACCTATATGTGTGCGCGCATATATATATGCAAATGTAAAACTAGACTGCACAGCAAAACATTCAGAGACTTGATGATACCATGAGCCAAACTCCTCTTAAAATTCGAGAATGTGCAGGCATGAATTAGGATGGGGGCAGAAGAAACCCAAAGTTCTATGTCCCAGGCCAAAGGACCACAAGAGTACAAATCACCCCTTAGAATGGCTTTGAGAAAAGCTATAGCTAAATGGCAGAGCACTTCTGCATGCAAAGGGCCCCTATTCAATTCCTGGCATCTCTTCTAGGGTAGTCAAGTGAAGAAAAAAGCTCATGCAATAATTTGCATAGAAGATAAAGTTTCCAGTGGGCTGCATCCAGACAACACTTTCTTCCGCCTTCCTGACATTTCCTTACCTGTTAATTTCTACATTTTATCTTTCATATGATGTAAAGGAGCACTCATTGACATGTTTCCGGGAGGGTGAGCATACAGAATCCATTTGCAGCTCAATGTAGGGGGGGAAATGCGGTTCAACCAGGGGAAAATGCAGGCCTTTCGTGTTGTAATTTCACATGGCGGAATTTGGGGCGGCATCCCAGCATACGCTTCTCTCCTGCCATTTAAAATTTAGCATGACATGGCAGTATATTGATCCGGAACACAACAAGTAAGGTAAAGGGACCCCTGACCATTAGGTCTAGTCGTGGCCGACTCTGGGGTTGCGGCGCTCATCTTGCTTTATTGGCCAAGAGAGCCGGCGTACAGCTTCCGGGTCATGTGGCTAGCATGACTAAGCCACTTCTGGCAAACCAGAGCAGCGCGCGGAAACGCCATTTACCTTCCCGCCAGAGTGGTACCTATTTATCTACTTGAACTTTGGTGTGCTTTCGAATTGCTAGGTTGCAGGAGCAGGGACCGAGCAACGGGAGCTCACCCCGTCACAGGGATTCGAACCGCCGACCTTCTGATCAGCAAGTCCTAGGCTCTGTGGTTTAACCCACAGCGCCACCCGCGTCCCTCAAAACACAACAAGTACTGTAGAGTAAAAGGAACATTGAGGAATTGGGACGGAAGCACTAGCATTATAATCGTGAAAAGTAACACAATGAACCCCTCATCTGAATACAGCCTAAGTGTAGATTCTCAGGCCCTGTCCCCCCCCCCCAAAGTTTGGTCATCTTATACTGGGCCAGGAGATAATTGGTTGGGAATGAAATTCAGATTCAAGCAGAAGAGGGAGAGGCAAATAGCTGAGAGAGGCTAAGGTCATCACCTCACTCATCTGGCAAGAAGACTGATATAGTAAATATGGCTTTGTGGTCATCTGATCATTATGTTGTGGTGGTTGTTCAGTTTAGGCTGCAGCTGGCGTAGGATGCGGCTGCTAAGTCACTGAGTGGGCAACCTGAAGTGACCTTCTCTCACTGGTCCAGAAAGCTCTGCCCTGGCTGCCTGCACATTACCAAGCCCAATTTAACACCAGAATACAAAGCAAAATGGCTAGGGACCGAAGTAACTAACAGGCCCTCCAACGCCTTGAAGGCAAAAACCACAACGCCATCTTCTTGTTTTTTCTCGTGAGAGAATGGCAGTCATTTTGGGCGTCGCA